ATATTATATTATATTATATTATATTATATTATATTATATTATATTATTATTATAAAATGGCAGCCGAGGGGAGAAGGGGGCACCCATGGATTAAATCTGCACGCACACCCCCATGGAAGAACGCGGGTAGGAGCAAGGGAGCCCTAGACCACGGCTGCCCACTGGAGGAATGGGACTCACCTTGGTGTATCTCCACCTGCAAGGGCAGAGGAAGGGGAGTTGCAAACTTACTTTGCTCCCACAGAGGGTTTACCTTGGGAGGTAGAGGGGGTGGAAGATCGACAGGCTGAGCATCCCTGGAAGGAAAGATAAGTGACCAGGTTCAAAAACAGAGAGATTGAGGGGGGGGGGCATTTGCTGCCTGTTTTCTCCCCCACCCCCCACCCCACCCACATCTCCGATGAATTGTTCTAGCAAAACGTTACTAATAGAGGAGAACAGCCGCTTGGGGTTGAACTGGTGCTCCCTGACCTTGGTTGCAGATATTTCATGGCGTTACTACAGAGATGGTATTCAGCCGGTTCTAGAGAACCAGTAGTGGAAATTTGGAGTAGTTCGGAGAACTGGCACATCCCACCTCTGAATGGCCCTGCCAACCCCATCTATGCCTCCCGTTGAGTCCCAGTTCTGACCCAAACCCTTTTCCAATAAAACAAACCACAAACCAAAGGGAACAGAAAACTTTGAATGATTCTTACGAATCCCCGGTTAAAAGGCTGCTGCAAACTAATTAGCTTTGATAGGCACGAGCTTCGCCAAAACTGTGCGAGGCTGCCAAGAATCACAGATAAGAAATATTTCACAAAAACAAGAGTCTTCAAATATCAACTTAAGATACTGCAATGTCCCCGAGGCTGAGTTTCAAAACGTCTTTGCTTCCTGCAAAGAATGCCTGATTCACAGCTGGCTTTTATCTTCTTGAAGGAGGGGCCATTACCTTGCATCCTGTGCAGATCCTGCTAGGGTGTATCCCTAACACATCCTTACTCTTGAGTCACCCATGCTGTTGCAGCTGCTCTTTCCTGCGAGCAATCCCACATGCATGCGCGCTTGGCACAGGCTCCTCAGGAACCTCGTCATCACTGCTGCCAGCCCTCACAATCTCTTAAGGCAGCAGTCCACTCCCTAATGGTCCTGGCCCCTCACCTGAGTCCTTGCTCTCCTCAACTGTCCGCACCTGCTGCCGGCTAACCGCAACAGTCCCAGCTGATCGGCTGGGTCTTATTTGGTTGCCCTGCAGAGGAGAACGGAGCTGGAAAGCAGGTTAGTGGGGTGGGGAGGGAATGGAAATTTTACAGTATCCTTCCCCTGCCACGCCCACCAAGCCACACTCACAGAACTGTAGTAAAAAATTTTGAATCCCATCACTGCCCTTCTAGGTAACATTATCAATACTAGAAGGGTGTGGAGGTTGCTCTCTGTTTTTAAACCTCACTCCCTTCTAGCACTGATGATGTTACCTAGCTGGCTCATGAAACATCTGCAAGGAAACAACTAAACTCAAGAGCACCAAGGGCCCCATTATAGAAAGACACCATAATTGAAAAGTCACCAAGAGCCACTCCTGGGAAGGCAAGCCCCCTTCAGACAGGAAGGAAAACATTTATTTTCCAGGACTGTTATTTCCAAATATCAAGCAGGAATCGAGTAGCCTTAGGGACTAGCTCCTTGCTGGATCCTGAGATCCGTCTCTTCCCAATTTTTGGCTAAACGACTGTGTGTTCTATCATTTGATATTTTAAAAATTCTAGGAGAAAAGGTTACCTGATTAGGTCTGGTCTGCTGGGGCTGGAAGGAAGAGGAAAAAAAGAAGGTTCAGAGAAGGGGAATTTAGGAGAGAAAGAATGACCAAGTGGGCTTATGCTCATGTAGTTTAGTGGCTACTTCATTGTTTTATTAGTCCTTTGTTTTGCCATGGTCAAGACCTCCTGTTTTGTTTCTCAACTTTGGCCATTTTAAGACAAGTGGACTTCAACTCCCAGAATTCCCCAGCCAGCTTTAAACTATAAGCGGTTAAGACAGAACTTACATATCCACGTCATCGTAGTCGTCCGAATCGGTTACACTCTTCCTGCAAAAGTCAGGAAAACAAAGCTAAAATAAACTTGTATTTCACCTCTAGGCAGCAGCTACGGGAGCTGGTTCCCAAGGCCTCCTCCGGACTCCCTTACCCGCTGCTGAATTCACCACCAAGTTTGTCCATCGTACTGTAGCCTGGATCTAGCATGATCTCCTGTAGAAGAAGAGACATTTGCAAGTCCATCGGCCTGAAGGAAGGGATGAGTCTCTGGAAGAATTGGGAGACAAATTCCTTAACAGCCAGCCAGCGCTTGAGGGTGATGGCAGGGAATTGGATGCTACCGGTTCGCACCGGTTCGAGCGACCCGGGTGTTAATGTTACATCTGGTTCGCCAAACTGGTAGTTGAAATGACTGGCTGGCCCTGCCCACCCAACTCCACCCCTCCCAGGAGTCTCCACATGGCCCATTTGGGATCCCAGGTAAGCTCAGGGCCCACATGGAGGCTCAGGGAGGGTGAAAATTGGGCCCGTTTCCAACCTCCAGAGAGTCTTGCAAAAACGCCCCCCCACCGGCCATGGTGCAGGAGGCTGACTAGGCCACACCCCAACATGGGCACGTCCACCCAGCAACCCGTTTGCTAAATTTTTTGAAGCCCATCCCTGGATGATGAGCGGTGATTATCCAGCTCATCTGGAGACCCCAAGTTGGCAAAGGTTGCCCTAGAGTCTGGGAATGCTCCCTAGATCAGTATTTCTGAACGTTTGGTGACTTTAGGATGGGTGGACTTCAACTCCCAGAATTCCCTAGCCGGACCATGTTCGCGGGGTGAATTCTGAAGCCCGTAAGTTCTTAAAAGTTGTACGAGGGCTTGGGAATTCTGGGAATGGAAGTCCACCCATCTTAAAGTCAAGGTCGAGGAAGACTGAGCTAGAGAAAGAGTGGAAGAAGGAGAAGAGCCAGCTGTGAAATCTTCGGTCTGTTGAGTTTGTTGGTGCCAAGAGTGGCGGGCTAAGGGTAGGACCCAGGCCTTGAAGATGACCAAGAGAAGAGGGAACCTTTCTCCAGGGCTAGAGCAGAAGAGCCAACGAAGAGTTACCATAGAGCTTGAAGATCCCAGAGTTTGTCTTCTTCGTAAGGTAGGGCTGAAATTATGTTCTGCAACGAGACGGGAAACGGGATTTAGAGCAGTGAGGAGCGAGGTGGAGGCTGCAGAGACCAAGCAGCTAACGTTATTTTTTTCCCTAGGGCGTGTGAATCTACTTAGATGAGGTAGGCAGGTGTACCTTTGAAGGCACATAATGGTAACATAGGTAGTATTAGTGGGAAAGAATAATAACTTGCTATTCCGCTCCCGTAAGAATTGCTTCGCTCCTGTAATTGCTTCTGCCGTTTGCTCCTACCAATGATCTAATTCCGTGACGGCAAACCTTTTTCTTGTAGTGTGCCAAAAGAGCGTGCCTGCACCCACAATGCAATGTGCCCCGCTTCCCCCCACGGATATACATGCAACACCCCTGCCCCACCCCCTTACCTGGACTGCGCATGCGCACGCTTCCCAGGCTGATTTTCGGCCTGTTTGAGGCCGTTTTCTAGAAAGACCAGAAGTGCCTGTTTTCAGCCTCTGGAGCCCGGGGGAGGCCGTTTTCACCTGCCGGGGGGCTCGAGGGAAACCTCTGCAGCCTTTGGAGGCGAAAAAAACGGGCCCATTTTTAGGCACTTCCGGTATTTCCAGAAGTCCCGTTTTTCGGCCACCCGAAGCTGCAGAGGCTTCCCTCGAGCCCCCGGGAGGGTGAGAACAGCCTCAAACGGGCCGAAAATCAGCTGGGAGGCACAGGCATGCGCAGTTGCAGGTAAGTTTGGTTGGGGCTCGTTGTTTTGGTTTTTTATAACTCAGTACCCAGAACGGAATATGCTGTAGCTTGGCGGGGTTACACCTGTATTGCTAAGCACCCGGCCCCTCCTGTTCCTTTCTGCACAGCCCAGGCAGGGCTACGAGGAAGGCAGAGACCCAAAATTGGGTACTAAACTGATGTCTCTGAAGCTATAAAAGGATGCCATACCTTCCCCCCCAGGTGTTGGCCTTCCTTATCTGTCTCTTTTTGCGTATGTTTGGAACCGTTTACCCAGCTTTTTAACTTGGTCCCAATTAAATGCTGATTCTTTCTCGAGCCTCCACTGAAGTTCTTCTTTTGGGCTCATTTTGTTGACTTAAGTGTTATCGCCGAATCTTCCATTTTGAATCAGTGAGAGTGGACCACCCTACCTTGGGCCCCAGCGTATCCTGGAGAAGTCACGCCCTGCCGCTGGCTGGAGCGAATCCTTCGCGGCACCGGAGGGGGAGGCAACTGAGGAAGAGAACGTAAGAGGCATGTTGGAGGTGTGTGTGATGGCCAGCCCAAAATGGAAGGCTTTTGTGGCCGTGTGCTTCCTAGAGACGCCCTTATTTTGCCACCGCCCCACCCACCCCCAAAAAAAACACTCTTGAGGTTGACTTGAGCAGAGGTCTCCAAACTTGGCAACTTTAAGACTTTGTGGACTTCAACTCCCAGAATTCCTGAGTTAACATGACCGGAGGAGGAATTCTGGGAGTTGAAGTCCCCCAAAAGTCTTCAAGCTGCCAAGTTTGAAGACCCCCCCTGGACTGTGGATGACTCCTAAGATGAAGACCCCTTCTCTCCCACTTTTCCAGCCTCATCTCTTTGCTCTCACCTCTTGTTCCTCTTCTTCGGCCTCACCTCTGGGGAGCTGGTCAGGGTTGTGTACTTTCTCCAAGAGGTCAAGGGTCAGCCTCTGCGTGAGCCCTGCCTGGGCTACAAACTGGTGCTGGGAAAAGAAAAGTGAAGACGGTTGGTTGGAAAAGTGAAGACTCTGACTGGATGGCGGGGAAGGGAAGGATTGATCATCCTGGCAGAGAGCTGGTCCTCTGCATCCTTTTTTAGAAGGTCGTTGAGGCCACTTGGAGGTTTGTCTGTTTTTCTCAGGGTCACCTGAGTGGTGCAAATTGGATGTGGAGCCTTCTTGGAACTGCGGAAAGGACCATGCTGTAGTCTGGAGAGAGGGGGTGCCGTATCCCTCCCCCCCCTGCTCAAAATTGAACAGCCCCCTCTCAATAAAAGGGGGAATATGACATCGCCCCTTTCCAGTCTACAACACGGTCCCTTCAGTCCTTCTTGGATGAGAAGCAAAAGGTCTTCAACCACCCTGAAAAAAAGGGACTTAGGACCGTCTCTCACATGACCGTTGTAGAATCCCATGGTCACGTGATTAACATTCGCAGGCTTGGCAAGGGGTTCGTATTTAGGAGGGTTGTGGATTTTTGTGACCTTCGGACCAGCAGAGTCCAAGGGGGAAACCAGATATGTTTAAACAGACATAATGAATTCAACATCCAGTTGAATTTGTGCTCTGAATGATCGAAGAATGGGAGGAAGCTCTCCATAGAGGCCACATGCTGGGTGTCCATCACCCTTTGTCCTGCCTCTGGGAAGGTCGGAGAGACGGGCCAAGTTTGCCACCCTAGCAGGGTGCCACCTCCCAGAAGGTAGGAGAGACCCCAGCAATTCTCCCCTGGACAGCCTGGCCTTGAGGGGGCTTTGCTCCAGAGGTGATATTCGGACCAGTTCCGGAGAATCCGTAGCGTAAATTTTGAGTAGTTTGGAGAACCGGCAAATCCCACCCCTGACTGGCCCCACCCCATCTATGCTCCGCCTCCCATTGAGTCCCAGCTGATTGGCTGGATCTCCTTTGGTTGTCCTGCACAGGAGAACGGAGTTGGAAAGCAGGTTAGTGAGGTGAGGAGGGAAGGGGGATTTTGCAGTGTCCTTCCCCTGCCACGCCCAAGAAGCCGCATCCACCAAGCCACGTCCATAGGACCGGTAGTAAAAAAATTGGAATCCCACCACTGGAAGGAAGAGAGGAAAGAAAGGGGATGGAAGAGAGGAAGGAAAGTGAAAGGAAGAGAGGAAGGAAAGTGAAAGGAAGAGAGGAAGGAAAGGGGAAGGAAGAGAGAAAGGAAAAGGATGGAAGAGAGGAAGGAAGGAGGAAGGAAGAGAGCAAAGAAAGGGGAAGGAAGAGAGGGAGGAAAGTGAAAGGAAGAGAGGAAGGAAGGAGGAAGGAAGAGAGGAAATAAAGGGAAGGAAGCAGAGGTGGTATTTAGCCGGTTCTGACTAGTTCTGGAGAACCAGTACCAGAAATTTTGAGTAGTTTGGAGAGCCAGCAAATCCCACCTCTGACTGGCCCCGCCAACCCCATCGATTCTCCGCCTCTCATTGAGTCCCAGCTGATCGGCTGGGTCTCCTTTGGTTGCCCTGCAGAGGAGAACGGAGCTGGAAAGCAGGTTAGTGGGGTGGGGTGGGGAGGGAAGGGGGATTTTGCAGTAACCTTCCCCTGCCATGCCCACCAAGCCACGCCCACCAAGCCACGCCCACAGAGACGGTAGTAAAAAACAATTGAATCCCACCAGCGCTTTGCTGCCAGCTCTGCAGAGCACACGTCCTGCGTAGAGGTGGAGAGAGAGAGGAGGGCTTACTCACCGTGAGCATCTTGGAGGCACTGGGCCGTTTCTTGGGGCTTTTAGTTAGCGTCACCTTGACAAAGTTGTGGAAGGCGGGGGACCTGTGGAGACAGCCGCAGCACCCGTGAGGGAAAATGTTTGGGGCTGTAACGTAGCCGATGCTTAACAGCTGCCTTGTTTTGCAGTGGAAATTCTAGCCCTGGTTGTGATCATTAAGTTGAGGGTTACCTGTATTCCAAACTTCCGGCGTTCTGCCCCAAAGGATAACACTAAGATTAACATCGGACCAACAATCAAGAAGTAAATAGCACCTCAAGCAAGGAGCTGCCAACCAAGGAAAACAGTAAACCAAAGAACCTCCAAAACCACTTCCACCAACGTTGACTGGGCAAATCACTAGAATATAAAGTGAGAGCAAAACCCCTTCCTTACTAGCCCTGATGATGTTCCCTAGTTGGGTCATGAAACGTGTGCAAGAAAACCCCCAAGCTCAGAGAGCACCAAGGATCCTCTAATCCTCCTCCTCCTCCTCCTCCTCCTCCTCCTCCTCCTCTTTTTCCTCTTCCTCCTCCTCCTCCTCCTCCTCCTCCCTGCAAACCCCACTCCCTTCTAGACTGATGATGTTCCCTAGTTGGGTCATGAAACGTCTGCAAGAAAACCCCCAAGCTCAGGATTGAACTGTGAGCACCAAGGACCGCACAGTTCAACCCTGAGCTACAAATATTCTCCTTTAACAAGACTAAGTAAGGGTCTGTCGCCACTCCGAAGGACCCCTTGACAGTACTCACCAGCGGGCTTTCTCCTTCAGCTTTGGAGGCTGGTAGCCACTCTTGGTCATCAACACCAGCACCCTGCCAGGTGGTACAAGGAGACGAGCCTCCGATTAGCCGGGGAGCAGCCTCTTCCTTAAATCTTTTCACCGAAAAGATTTTTTTCAATCCCCCCCAGGGATCAGAGAAGGGAAACAGGACCCGCCGGACAGGGGTGGGATTCTACCGGTTCAGACTGGTTTGGGCAAACTGGTAGCTCCAAAGATCAACTGTGAGCCAATCAGTTCGCTCTGACGATCAGCTGTTGGGCCCACCTGCCCGCCCCGGTTCTAATCTGTGCTTTATTTCCGGCTTTTCCAGCTCAGCTGATTAGTGTGGCACAGATTGCCGCGCATCAGCTGTTGTACGCATAGGGCTTGCAGCAAAAGATGAGTTGCAAATGTTGCCTGCGCGCGCTTTGCGCATGCTCACCGAACCGACGGTTATACCAGTTGAATCCCACCCCTGCTGCTGGGTCACCTTACCGCAAAGGATGCATATCAAACATGGGGGGCTGCAGCTCAGCCATCTCAATGGCCGTGATGCCCACCGACCACACGTCACACAGCTCGTTGTAGCCCCCTTTCAGTTCCACCGCCGCCACTTCTGGGGCCATCCTGGAACAGAGGGTGAGGGGCTTTATGCAGGGGTGAGCTTCAAAATTTTTTAGTAAGGGGCTCTCTTTCCTAATGACTGGCTGGGTGGGTATGGCTGGGTGGGCATGTCACCAGGTAGGCATGTGACCAAGGTGTGCATGACTAGGTGATCATGTGACTGGGTGGATGTGGCCAACTTGACGTCGCTTCTTTGCCCTAATTACCTAAAACAAGATATATACCAAAAAGTTGTTTATTATTTTGTGCATTTAATAATACTTAAATAAAAGACTGGGTGAAGCCAAGCTTAATAGCAGTGACTGTGAGAAGGATCTTGGAGTCTCGGTGGAATTTCTGGTGAGTTACGTGATTCTTATTATTTGGGAATTAATCCCTTCAGAGGCTAGAGGCTAGGTTATCTGATTTTTCTCAATGGCTCTCCCTTGCAAGCGCTGAGTGGATTGTTTATCTAGCTTGCCACACTTTTACTAGGTGTGAAATGCTCTTGGCTGAATGCCCAGAAGTTCAATTAAGCCTATTAAGAGCTTTCCCTTGCTGCTTGTCTTTCTGAAGTTATTGGGAGCACGCCGAGCCCTGCCGAGTCTTAGCTAGGGGCTCTCCCAAGCCCCTGCGAGCCCCCAGCAGCCCCCTCTGGTTTTATGTGACACTCAGGCTCACCATTCCTTCAAGATCCCCTTGGGTCCCATTAGGAGCACCCCGAGGTCTTTTCCAACCAGCTAACCAGGTTTGTCATGGCAGAAGCCTACAAACCAGGATTTCTCCCTTGTTTCCTGGCTCACCGATGCCCATTTCAGAAGGGACAACGCTGTTGGATGTGTTTGTTCCCGAAAAAAGGTGTATGGGAAAATGCACATAACTGGGGGCCTCGGTTAGCGTTATATATGCTGGAACAGATTCTGAAACCAGGTTGGGTGGGGAGCCCTTCCGATCTGCCGCCCAGATTCTCCTTGGCATCTCGTGGCTCAGATACCCATTGGGCCAACAGTTGGCTTTACCAGTAAGGAGTTCCAATGAAGGACATCCGGCGGGCAAAGGTGGCACTCAGTTGAGCGGAGATTCCAAAATCCGCTGCCAGAAAGAAAGAAAGAAAAAAAGAAAGAAAGAAAGAAAGAAAGAAAGAAAGAAAGAAAGAAAGAAAGAAAGAAAGAAAGAAAGAAGAGAAAAACAGAGAAGTTGAAAAAGTCTCTTGTGGTAGATCCGCATCGTGCTCGGCTTTGGGAAAATAAAAACGTTGTGGACTTCAAGGAAATCCATCCAACAAAATCCCAAATCTTACCAGGAAAAGGTGCTACCAGATTCCTGAAATTTTTGCTTTCATAACGTGGCTCTCCCTCGGGGGAGGCTCCACAATGAAATTCCCAATTCTTCTAACTTGTCCAGGGAGATTCTCCGTCATCCAGGTCGTGGTTTTTCCTGAAGATTCTTTTTCCAAGAGGCAAAACTGGAGTTTCTGCTTTTTCTTTGAAGAGGTTTCGCTTCTCATGTGAGAAGCTTCTTCCGCTCTGAGTGAAGAATTCCATTCCCTACCATTCACTCAGAGCAGAAGAAGCTTCTCGGATGAGAAGCGAAACCTCTTCAAAGGAAAAGCAGAAACTCCAGTTTTGCCCCTTGGAAAAAAGCACCTTTGGGACAACTCTTCTAACCCTTCCGGAATTTCTCTCTCACACAAACATGCAAACACACGCATGACTTTCAACCATTTGTTCAGGGACCGTTTGAAATTCCAACGGCACAGAAGAAAGGGACTTATGACCGTTTTCCCCCTTATGACTGTTGCCGCATTCTCCATTCACGGGCTCAAAATTCGAATGCTTGACATCTGCTTCATATTTTATGACGGTTGTAGCATCCTGGGGGTGCGCAATTCCCCTTTTGCGACCTTCTGACCAGCAAAGTAAGGGGGAAATCAGATTCACACAACAACTGTGTTACTAAGTTAACAACGGCAAAAATTCACTTAACTCAGCGTGGGCAGAAAGGCCGCAGAAGTGGGACAGACTTCACTGAAGAACTGTCTTGCTTAGTAAGGGAAATTTCGGGCTGAAGTGTGGTCATAAGTCGAGGACTGCCTGTACACGCCCAAAAATAATAGTTAAGATGTTCGCACAACTCATCAAATATTTCTATGGTCTTTTTAGAGTTGCCAACAGAAAGGGAGGGGGGAGCAGTGCGACAGCTTGGAAATAGAAAGTGCATTCCATACATAGCTTTTCAAAGATAGTAACTAGGTGACTGAAGTTTCTGCCGTGCAAAATTCTAATTGGAGAACATGATTGATGACTCTGGGCTATGGATGTGTCCCATTGGAGAATATGAATTAGGATACACCCAGAGGGTGGGGAGAAAACCAGGGTCAAGGGTGACAAGGAATTATGTGTCTCAGAGTCAGCTACACCCAGGCAGTGCTGGACATGTTAACTCCCAATAAATCCTTTGAAGTTTTGGAAGTTTGGCTCAAGACTCATGATTTAAATGGGGGGTAACTGCCGGAATCCTGACAGCTAGCCAACTATGAGGCACATCATTCATTGTCACCCTTAACCCTGGTTTTCCCTCCACCTCCGGGTGTATCCTAATTCACATTCTCCAATGGGACACATCCATCGCCAAGAATCATCAATCATGCTCTCCAGTTAGAATTTTGCACGTGGCAGAAACTTGTCACCTAGTTGCTATCTTTGAAAACATAACGCTACTAAATCAGAATTTTTAACTGCTTCCCACAGAGCCAAGCCCTACTGGGTAGGATTTAGGGGGTACATGGTGCCCACAGACCCTTCAGATAGTGCGGCTAAGGGTGACTAGCTCAAGAAACAATGTCCAGAGAATGAATTTACCCAGTTTTACTTCCCCGTGGTCGTTGAGAAGAATGTTAGCTCCCTGAAAGGTGAAGAAGAGAAAAAGGAAGTGAGATTTACTCAGAGTGAAATTGACTGACGTCCAGACAGTAACAGCTTCTCTCGCCCAACTAGACAATATGTTCTGACCAAGGCTTATTGAGACACTAACAAACACATTAGTCCCCAAACCCTTTTGTCTTTATTTCAACGGCTGTGAATTTTAGTCATTCACCGCCTGTAATGAGTCTCAGACAGTTTGTAAATAGTCCCATGGAAGTCTGCCGGGATAAGTCTGATAAGCACACACCTTTATCTTCCTTGAAATGCTGCCAACGATTACATTTCCAATTAGTTGTGCAGGGCCAACCAGAGCACAAATTCAACACAGAGCTTCAAGGTTTAATCCGAACAGAGCAAACAACGTTGCTTCCTGCAAAGGTTCCTGTCCCTTTGCTCCTTCTTTATGTCTTATGGGAGGGCCAATCACCTCCAAGCCTCACTCCCATCGCTCCTTTTGTCTTAACTATTCTTGCCATCTAGCAGCTCTGCGCATGCACACACTGGGAACAAGCTCCCTCTGTTCTTCTGCCTCGCTGTTGTCAGATTCTGGAGGCTCCGGAGTCATCACAAAACTCCCAGATGGCCCTGGCCCCATCTCTGTATCGGATGCAGATTCCTTGTCCAAGTCCTCCACAGACTCCTGGACTGGCCCATGTTTCTCCTCACTGTCCAACTCTGCTGCTGTCTCCGCAGGCTGTCGGTGGACCACAACACAATATTCCCAATTCCCAGACTCCGGGGTCCTTTTCTATTTAGAGTTCCAATGTTTACAAACTGCTCTTTCAACTTTTCTACCTCATTTTGTGACTGCGAGCTGACAAAATATACGATAGCTGCCAACTTTGTTGGAATTCAGGAGGGCTTGGGCCTAGACCGCTTATGAGAATGTAAAGACTCCAGGCTGATGCCTCTCTTGACTCCACCAGCCCTTCTCCTCCACTGTCCTGAATTAATTTTCTCAAGAAAACTGGAGATGGGTGATAACATAAGAGAAAGATAAGTTTCATAATTCTTACCTTTATATCTCGATGGATCTTGCCTTGTTTGTGAAGATAAGACAAACCCTGGAAGGATGGGAAAAAACCCACACATCCAATTATCTTTAAGTCATGCTTAATATAACAATATTTAATATAAGGATAGTCTTTGACTTATGACTACAACTGGGACCAGAATTTTGGTTGCTAAACAAAGTGGTTGTTAAGTTAGACATGCCCTATTTTATGACCTCTTTTGCCACGGTTGTTAAGCAAATTGCTGCAGTTGTCAAGCAAATCAGATGGTCCTTAAGCGAAACTGAATTTCTATTATTTAGTTATTTAATCTAGTTCACTTCATCTAGTTCACTAAAAGCTGGGAGATTTATAAAGAAGCTGCTGATTTGCATGTGGGGTATTCCAGGTTCAAGCCAAACCTAGCACACTTCCACCCCCAGGGAAAATAGCCTGGGGAAAAAGGGGTGTCCATAGATGTCTACTCACTTGTAAGGTTTCCCGGCAGATATAGGCAATCTGTAGCTCCGACAAGGGGCCCGTGACTGCAAAGGAACAAGGAGACAGTGAATATCACTTTTCAGCCTGCATGAAATTTCATCACACTCCGCCAGTGCCGCTTCTGATATCTCGAACGATCTGGAAGGATTTAAGATTAAGTTGCCGGATTTAAGATTAAGTTTCTTCTTTCCTTCTTCTCCCTGTCTCTCCTTTCTTTCCTTCCCCTTCTTTCTTTCCTTCCTTCCTTCTTCTCCCTGTCTCTCCTTTCTTCCCTTCCCCTTCTTTCTTTCCTTCCTTCCTTTTTCTCCCTGTCTCTCCTTTCTTCCCTTCCCTTTCTTTCTTTCCTTCCTTCCTTCCTTTTTTCCATCTCTCCTTTCTTCCCTTTCTTTTCTTCCTTCCTTCCTTCTTCTTCTTCTCTCCTCTCTTCCTTTCCCTTCCCTTTCCTTCCTTCCTTCTCCGTCTCTCCTTTCTTCCCTCTTTTCTTCTTTCCTTCCTTCTTCTCCCTCTCTTTCATCCCTCCTTCCACCTCCTCTTCCTCCCTCCCTCGCTTCCTACCTCCTCCTCCCCTTCTGAAGTGTACTTGCCCTCTTCTTACCTCTTTTCTTCCTTCCTTTCAGGGTATTAAGAACAAGGACGACTAGATTTAAGAACAGTTTTTATCCAAGTGCAGTTTTGAGTTTAAATGCAGGGTCATAAGATTTTTGTGGAATTTAATGGCTGAGAGTAATGGGGTATTTACATTTTTAAACTGTATAGAGATTATTGTATGGTCTGTTGTGTTTAGTTTTATTTTTCTTTCAATGGTGTTGTCCAGTTTTACTTGTGGAAGAGCACCTCATTTCGTTGCACCCGCTTGCAAGTGTAATGACAAATAAAATTCTTATGTCTTATGTCTTTCCTTTCCTCCCTCTCCTCTCTTTCTCTCTCTCTTCTTTCTTTTTCTTTCTTTCTCTTTTTTATTTTTGAGGTACAGTAAAGGTCAAAGAGAAAAGGAAAAAAAGGAAGGGAAAGTAAAAAAAATAACACTTTTTTAAAAAAGCAAAAGACACATTGGTGTTGGCGCTGCCCTGTTGTGGTCTCCCCCAGTCCGACTCTCCTTGTGCTGTGAAGGGTCTTCATCCTGCTCACATCACCGTAACCATCGAGGCAAGTTTTAAAAACCTTGCCCTAAAATTGGCTAATTCCCTAAGATTCCAGATTGACTGTATCCTGCGTGCCTTAGAGAACAAGCAAACCTTCCACCCACTCCAACCCCAATCTCTGCCCTTTGCTGGGATAGACTAGAATAGAATAACAGAGTTGGAAGGCACCTTGGAGGTCTGCTAGTCCAACCCCCTGCTTAGGCAGGAAACCCTACATCCCTTCAGACGAGTGGTACTGTGTCCCGGTTGACTTTTGACTTCCACCGTGTCCCCCCCCCGTCCCCACCCCCCCAAACCGGGAGATGCAAATACAGAAGGGAGGAAGTGAAGAAGCGGCAAGAAAGCATTCAAAATGAAAACGAGAAAGCAGTGTTGTGGTCAGCCTGTTATCATTCAAGTTGTGTTTGTGATGCTTCTCTGCCCCCACTCCGAAACCAGAAGGCGGGGAGAGACGGAGGCTTCTACTGCCCCACAAGAAGGACCCTCTGGTTCAGGGGTCTCTAACCTTTTGGACTTCAGGGACCACCAAACTCATAATTTTAAATCCCGCGGACCAGAGACCCTGGGAAAATCCCCCAAAAGAGTCTGCAGGAAAATTCCCCACCCCCATTTTCCTACCGATCAATCGTTCTTTATTTGGGATTGCAGGAAACCAGCTCCAGCTCCGTTCTCAGGGAGAGAGAGAGAGAGAGAGAGAGAGAGAGAGAGACTTTTGGCTTCATGCAAGGAAAGCAGCAGAAGCCGCAGAAGTCTTTCTTTCTTTCCCCCAAACTCCGCCAGAAATGAGTCTTTGTGAGACTTGTCATGCCAGCGCAGCCTCTTGGAGCAGGAGGCCTTGCAGGCTCCCAAAGACTCATTTCTGGCAGAGTTTGGGAGAGAGAAAGAAAGACTTCCGCTGCTTTCCTTGCGTGCAGCCAAAAGCAGAAGAAGAAAGAAGCGGAAAGAAGCAGCCCGGTAGCCAGGCCAGACGCATGGGGTGAGTGGGGCAAGTTCTCCCCCTCCTCCCTTTCCCCCCTCCCCTCACTACCTCATGTTGTTCGCAATGCGAATGATGCAAGCCTTGTGTTCCCACGGGCCATATGGGTGGCGCAGCCGTGTATTCCTGCGCAGCTTGGATTAATTGCTTGGGGGGGGGGGACATTTCTCTGAGGACCACCAAAATTTTCTCACAGACCACCAGTGGTCCTCTGCCCACTGATTGGCAACCACTGCTCTGATTGGCCCTCCTTTGCTTGCTTGTTCCAACTGCAACCCACATTGCTCGCTGGTCTCCTCACCCAGCGGTGAAAGGCGCTTCCTGCTTCCTTCTGCCCTGAAGGATAGAATCGGGATCATCAAAAGGAGAGAGAAAGATATATATCTCAAACTTTGGAATTTGCTGCCTTGAGATGCTGTGCCAGTGAGGCATTTGTCTCACTTTAAAAAGAAAGAGTTGGACCAATTGATGGAAGTCTTAGGAGATCAACGGCTCTTGGCTCAGGTTGGTTGTTGGCTACTTCACCAATAGGCTGCTTGACTAGATGGGCCAGTAGATCCTATCCAGCAGGTCCTCTTCTTATGTTCTTTCCTACTAAGATAACAGATCATCAGAGTTGGAAGGGACCTTGTAGGTCATCTAGTCCAACCCCCTGCCCAAGCAGAAGAGCCTACACCATTTCTGACCGATGGCAGTCCAGTCTCTCCTTGGAAATCTCAAGTGATGAAGCTCCCACAACTTCCGAAAGCAACTTCTCTTCCATTGGATGATTGTTCTCACTGTCAGAAAGTTTCCCCTTATTTCAGGTTGAATCTCTCCTTGTTCAGTTTCCATCCATTATTCCTTGTCTGGCCTTCAGGTGCCTTGGAGAATAGCTTGACCCCTTCCTCCTCTCTGTAGCAGCCCCTCAAATATTGGAAGACTGCTATCCTGTCTCCCCTGGTCCTTCTCTTCACCAGACTAGCCAAGCCCAGTTCCTGCAACTGTTCATCATATGTTTGAGCCTCCAGTTCCCTCATCATCCTGGTTGCTCTTCTCTGTACTTGTTCTCGAGTCTCAACATCTTTTTTAATAGTGTGGTGACCAAAACTGGATGCAGTGCTCTAGGTGTGGCCTTACTAAGGCTTTAGAGAGTGGTATTAGCACCTCTCTTGATCTTTAACCCGATCTCCAGAGAGTTCGGTGTTGGAGCTGGTGGGATGACTTTGGTGGTAGATGGCATTGTTCTCTTGATGGCTCAGAACGCTGATGAAATCTCAAAAGCTCACAATGGATCACATTGGTGGCAACATCTCCAGGGGGTGTTTGGAGGTTTCTTCAGTGAAGAAGAGGACAAGCACAGCTAGCCAGAAGACCTCTTAGACCAAGAGTCTTCCAACTCGGCAAGTTTAAGACTTGTGGACTTCAACTCCCAGAATTCCTGAGCTAACATGACTGGAGGAGGAATTCTGGGAGTGGTAGTCCACAAGTCTTAAAGTCGTCAAGTTTGAAGACCCCTGTCTTAGACCAATAGAACAGAATATTTGCAACTCAGGTTTGAACGGTGGAGTCCTTGGTGCTCTCTGAACTTGGCAGCTTTCTTGCAGACGTTTCATGACCAAACTAGGTAATCTCATCAAGGCAACTTCTTTAGAAGATCAGAAGATTAGGGAACTGTGCTCTCCTAAGCTAAGCGCACGCTTCAATTTTCAATTCTATCCAATAAAAAGCAGAGAGTGATCCAGACCAAGGGAACCTCTCCTCGATCCCATCCCAATAAATTTCTTTCTTGCAGGGAATTTTTCCTTCTGATTAGACTTAACACTATTTTATTGTCAACCTACCACGCAGTAATTCCTCCCGGCCAGTTAACCATTCTTCTTTCAAGCTGGCTGAAAAGTAATGAAACTTTTGTGTTCATCCAAGAAACAGGAGTGCTTGGCTTTGCGCCTCCCTTTATGGTTTTCTGTTCTCCTTGCGAGCAGCTGAAGGCAGCTCTGAAGTGCGAAACAACACAAGCAGACTGGAAAGGGGGAAGTTTGCAACCTCACTCAAGCCAGCTGAACAACGTGGGGTCTGTCTTCCTTTGAAGCAGGTGCTATTGACATGCTAGAGAAAACCAACAACCGCACTTTGTTTCACTTCTGTTGCAAAAAAAAAAAAAAAGGACTGCCTAATCATTCGGTTGTACTCCTCCCTCAAGGAGGCTATGAACCCGGCACCCAAAGTGACATGCTTGATGTGTGCGCGTGAGAGACACATCCTTCTCTCTTAACAACTGCACAGGGCTTAAATTTACATTAAAAACACTTTGAGAGATAAGAATGAAGGAAAGTTCCCTGCACACTGTATCTTAGAATACAGAATGAGAGAGTTGGAAGGGACTTTGGAGGTCTTCTAGTCCAACCCCTTGCCCAAGCAGGAGGCCCTACACCATTCTGGACAAATGGCTGATCAATCTTTTCTTAAAAACCTCCAGTGATGGAATCCCACAATTTCTGGGGGGAAGCTGTTCCACTGATGAATTGTTCTCATTGCCAGAAAATTTCTGCTTAGTTCCAGATTGCTTCTGTCCTCAATTAGTTTCCACCCGTTGCTTCTTGTTCTGCCTTCAAGGGCTTTGGAGAATAGCTTGACTCCCTCTTCTTTGGGGCAGCCCTTCAAATATTGGAAGACTGCTATCATGTCTCCCCTAGTCCTTCTCTTCCTTAAACCAGACATGCCCAGTTTCTGCAACCGTTCGTCAAATGGTTAAACTAGACATCCCCAATTCCCACAACGATTCATCACTCCCAGAATTCCTCAGCCAACCTTGGCCACTTTAAGACTTGTGGACTTCAACTCCCAGAATTCCTCCAACAACCTTGGCTACTTTAAGACTTGTGGACTTTAACTCCCAGGATTCCTCAGCCAGCAAAGCTTTAAGATTTGTGGACTTCCCAGAATTCCTCCTCCAGTCATGTTAGCACAGAAATTCTGGGAGTTGAAGTCCACAAGTCTCAAACTTGCCAAGGTTGAAGACCCTTGGATTAGACAAACAGACAGACAGACAGAGATGGAGATAGAAGATAGATACTGGAGACCAGAGGTCTTCAAACTTGACAACTTTAAGACTTGTGGACTTCAACTCCCAGAATTCCTCCTCCAGTCATGTTAACTCAGGAATTCTGGGAGTTGAAGTCCACCAGTCTTAAAGTTGCCAAGTTTGGGGACCCCTGGTATAGGGTCTCTTGCCTTGAACAGGATGTTGGACTAGAAGTCATCCAAGGCCCCTTCCAGCACTAGGACTCTATGATTTTATAAGCTGAACTTAGGAAGTGCAAGTGAGATTCGTCCTGACTTTTTAGCAGCTACCTTGATAGATGTCCTGGAGGGATCCTCCTGCGCAGAATTCCATGCAAATCCACAGCTTCTTAAACCTGAAGGAAGGAGAGAAAGAGGGTTCGTGTGGAAGGAAGCTGAGAATGGGGGAAAGGAGGAGGAAGAATCACGCCCAGCTATCCAGAATGCCCAGGAGTGTATCAACTCATCAAATATTTCTATGGTCTTTTGGAGTTGCCGACAGAAAGGGAGCCATGCAGTAGCTTGCAAACTGAAAGCGCATTCCATAAATGTTTTCAAAGATTGTAACTAGGTGACCGAAGTTTCTGCCTTGCAAAATTCTAACTGAAGAGCATGATTGATGACTCTTGGCTATGGAGGTGTCCCATTGTAGAATATGAATTATGATACACCCAGGGGGTGGGGAAAACCAGGGTCAAGGGTGACAATGCATGACGTGTCTCAGAGTCAGCTACACCCAGGCAGTGCTGGCATGTTAACTCCCAATAAATCCTTTCGAATTTTTGGAAATTTGGCTTGAGACTCAGGATTTAAATGGGGTTGACAGAGCGCTTTCTAATCGTAGCCATAACACTTATACACCACTTCACGGTGCTTTGCAGCCCCCTCTAAGAGGTTTACAGAGTCAGCCTCTTGCCCCCCAACAATCCGGGTCCTTATTTTACCAACCTCGGAAGAGCGCAAGGCTGAGTTCAACCTTGAGCCAGTGAGAATCGAACTGCTGACAGTCAGCAGAATGAGCCTGAATGCAGTGCTGCATTCTAGCCACTGCGCCACCACGGCTCTTTCATACACCCGTTTTGCAACCCACCCACACCACCCTTTCTCAAGGCAGAGAAACAATTCACAAGAGAACCGTCCCATCTTCAGAGAAAGATCGCTCACCGGATGTAACTCCCGTAGTACGCGACGATGTTCGGATGTTTGCAGGTTTTCACCATCACGATCTCTTGTTGGATAGCCACGCAATCATCATCTGGGCAAAAAGAAGAAGAAGAGAAACAGGCATTTTAGGGTTTAGGGTTTTAGGAGAGAAGGAAAACAGGCTCTCCCTCCTAGCACTGATGATGTTACCTAGTTGGGTCATGAGACGTCTGCAAGGAAACAAACAAGCTCAGAGAGCACCAAAGACCCAACAGTTCTCCTCCTCCTCCTCCTCCTCTCTTCCTTTCTGCAAACCTCCCTCCCTTCTAGCACTGATGATGTTCCCTAGTTGGGTCATGAAATGCCTGCAAGGAAATAACCAAGCTCAGAGACCACCAAGGACCCCACATGTTGAACCTGAGCTACAGATATTCTCCTTTATTGAAACATCTGGATCTGAGCTTTCTAGATGTTCCAGGGCTTCGGCGGCCAACATCTCCACTACTGCGTTGCTGAGTTACAGGCAGTCCTCGACTTATGATCACAATTGAGCCCCCAATTTTTGTTGTCCAGCAAAGGCAGTTGTTAAGTGAGCGTTGCCCCACTTTATGACCTCTTTTGCCGCCATTGTTAAGGCAAGTCACTGCAGTGGTGAAGCGAATTGTGCAGTCGTTCAGCGAATCTGGCTTCCCACGTTATCTTTGCTTGCTGGAAGCCAGCTGGGAAGGTTACACATGGCTAGCCGGGGGATATAGGAGTTGCAGTCACCAAGGTTGGGAAATCCTGGCTTAATTTTTGTCCTTGCTCACCTGCTTCCATTTTTACAATTTTGATGGCAGACAGTTTTCCCGACTCTCTCTTCCTTGCCTGAGAAGATGACAGTGACACAAAAGATAATTAAAAAGTTTACTTTTGATTTTGATTTTTAGTGGCAGGAGGCAGAAATTCTATTTAAATCAAGCAAATGGAATTACAAAAGGTATAACGACCACCTTGGCTCCGGAGCAGAGTTCTAATTCCGCACTTACTCCATCTTGGCTGGTTTGATGTGTTTCTACCATCATTTTTTATTTTTTTTGTTTAACTCTTGGCTTTCTCTGACATTTCCCAGTTTGGAAGGGAAAGTGAGAAAGAGGAAGCCAGAACCAGAGCTGAAAACGTTTTGTGTATTGCTGGCAGAGGATACAGCTGCTGCCCTCAGCTAGTTTTCTGTGTGTGTGTGATTATTATTATATATTATTATTTTCATCTACATTTTGTGCTGTTAAAGCAAGATTTTTATGTTTTGTAGGCAGCATTGAGGGTGGGGGTCATTGCCAGCATGAGATTGCTCAATCTTTCCTTCTTGGGAAAACAAAGATGTGCGAAACTGGCTGAGGACAAAACAGGAGATTTATTTTTTTGCAAAAATAGAGTGGAACAGATCAAGGATTTTAGCCCCTTGCTGGGCTAAACGGTTGAGAGAGGGGGACGTGTTCGAGCATGGGTATTAATTCAGTTGTGAGGGGTATGACTAACAGAAAGGAAACATCCTTTTCTTGTAGGGATTATTTAAGAAGAAGAAGAAGAAGAAAAATACGGTGTAATTATGTACATCTGGCCAAACTGCGAGGCTTTGTTTGATTACAGGGGTATTAAAAAACACAAGTCAATAAAAAAAACAAAAGAAAGTTGTAGTAGCAAACAGGAAACTTCATCTGGGGCTGCCAGACTGCTATCTGTGCAGCTTTGAGGAGTCTTTACACAGAAGCCTAAAATTGCAGCAATTAAACTCAAATTAATGGAGGGTTGCACGGGTGCAAGGCTTCCATTGGTAAGCCGAGGGATCAAATAATATCTCTTTGGCATGTAGGACGATTCTATACAGCGATGTGTTTCAACCTTGGCATTTTGAAGATTGTGGACTTCAACTCCCAGAATTCCCCGTCGCCAGCCAGACTGCTGGGGATTTCTGGGAGTTGAAGCCCAGGCATATTAAAGTTGCTAAGGTTGAGAGAAACACTGTTAAAACAGAAAGTGAGACTGATTCGATTCCAAACGACGCTCAGGGTGTATTGTACATTAACACGCTTTTAGACAGCAACAGCTCGCTTTTAAACCAATTCTGCTCTAATCGATCTGGTGATTGGAACTGACCTAATCAGTAGGAGCATTCGAATTAAATCAAATAAAATCAAACAACAGACTCTGATGAAAACATGAGAGATATTCTTACATTCCCTAAGGAGACCCATACAAAGCCCAAATCCAGGGACCACCTGCCCTTATGGCTATTTCCAATATGTTTAGGACAAAGAGAGAGAGAGGGAGGGAAAGAAAGAGAGAGAGAGAAAGAGGGAGAGAAAGAGAGAGAGAGAGAGCGCAAAGCAATCAGGAATAATGTAAGAGCAATTTTTTCGACTACCACATTTTATTCATTTTTCAGGCTTGTGCCATTTTAGTTAAATTAATTATTAGCCTTTAATAAAACGATTTAATACAATTTGTGAGGGAGCTACCAAAATCTTCTACCTTTTAAACAGGTTAGTTGCAGGAAAAAATTTTTTTGCAAACAATTAGTCCTGGCTGGGATTCAGTCACACCGTCTCATACCTTCTTGCTCACATAAAGCTGATTAAATGATAGAATTTGCAGCCATGAATGGACTCGGGACCAGTGATGGGAATAAAAAAAAAAAAAAAAGTCCACACTTCTTTACTTTTATGCCTGCTTCCACCCCAAACAATTATAGTACATTTATTGCTAAACCATCAGATTAACCTTCCTTATGGGTTTTAACTAAGATGCAACCATGATTTTAATGCATTGGAAGCAGTTGGAAACGCATACTACATATTTATTAGACTATTAGATTAATAAGATCAGTTTCCCCTACCGTATATCATGTGGCCCAAAGTTCCACAGACTAATATTAACTCTTTTTTTCTTTTTTTCTTTTTAAAAATCCTTTGCACCTTGCCTTTTCTTGGAAGCCTGATCTATATTTGTTGCATTTGTTAAATGATGTCCAGGAACAAAAACCATTTAAGCCACAATCACCGCTCCCCAGCTGGAAAAAAAGTGCCCGGGCAGCACTCGAACCCAAACCCCCATGCAGGACAACTGAGGTTACCTTATAGACTTCCCCATAGGTCCCTCCGCCAACACGCTGCAAAAGTTCAAAGTCCTCTTGAGGGTTTCGGGTGGAAATCTCCAGTTGGGCTGCTCTTTCTTGAGCATCCATTGTTCAGGGTTCCCCCGCTTGTGCAGGCAGAGTATATAAACTCTGTACGCGTGTAGGCGTCGTTCTCTGTGCTGTGGTCAGGATACGGGTGAAGAGTTCTGCTTCCTGATTTGCAGCGTGATTAATGTGGGCGAGCAAATTTCTGGGGTTGAAGGATGAAGGGCCTTCTCGGCTCATCCAGAAATGGTCAAGACCCTTCTTGGGAGTTTGGATGTAAGTGGATGGAGATCTTTCCAGCCTGCAGGTTTTATTTTTTATTTTATTTACTTATTTCCTTTGTTGGTCAAGCACGTATGAAAAAACCAAGTATAAGTATGAACATAACGTAACTGTGATGACCCAAAGGGGTGTGGCACAAAAGCAACGAAGTCACAAAAATTGGCAAAGTCCCTTTAATTCCTCCAACTTGGCCCCCAATGTCCAGTTATCATCTACTGGAGAAAAAAACTCTCCCGAGAACAGTTTTTAAAGGGAAGAAATTCAGTTCGAACCCAAAGTACATACTTTAAAGCCTCCAGTTTAAGTATCTTTATCAAATTTCAAAGAGCAAATGTTAAGATTCAAGCTAACATAAAGGAAGGAAAAGGGAGGAGAATAAGACAAGTTAAAAAGTGACAAAAGAAATCTGTTCCAAATGCAAAACACAAGCAGAGGAGAGGAGTTTCAGTTTCACAGCAACAACCAGCTTTAGTACAGAACAGTTGAGCTAAGCCACGCCCAGGTTCCTTGCTGTCTCCTTGCTCACACAGCGAATACTGTTTCCGTTTCCAAACAGCCCTCAACTCTCACATGCTGACAGGATGCTAGCCAGATGAATACCGATGGATGCTGGCAGGCAGAGGCAGAATTCCCACCCCGTCTTATTTTCCTCCCCCAAAACTAATCCTGGCCACACAGTTTTGTAGCGAAGCAAGGGGGAAGAGCTAGTATTGAATAAATCAACAAATACCCAAACAGATATTTACTGTAACAAGCATGACCCCTCCATCCTTTTTTCTCCAGAGCCACATGGGAGATGCAACTTGGGGTCTTGGGGCTTTTCCTTAAGTGATATGGGATCAAAGGAAGGTCCCATTTATTTATTTATTTGTTGGGGGGATGATGTTCAAAACCTCCCATCAGTTGCACCTGCCACCTGGGTTGCACCTTTCACAGGTAACACACGTAATATTTTATAAGTTTTCTCCATGGCCTCCAGAGCGTGGATTCTGGTCTCTGCTGACTGATTATCTCCTCGGCTGGGACAGTGGGCATCTCATGGGGGCAAAATCTCTAGGCCGGGAGCCTGCAGGAATCTAAGACCTGTGCTAGACCAGGGGTGTCCAACCTTGGCAAGTTTAAGGCGTGTGGACTTCAACTCCCAGAATTCCCCAGCCAGCACGTGCTGGCTGGGGAATTCTGGGAGTTGAAATCCACACACCTTAAAGTTGCCAAGGTTGGACATCTCTGTGTTAAAGCATGCTGAAGGCCCACCCCATCTCTGGTGGATCCCTTGGAAGGTGGGGAGGATGTAGCAGAGTCTGGTAGGGTTAAGTTGCAAAAATGCTGGAATGGGGGGCTCCTAGCCTTCTTTCCTGCCCCCCCCGCCCCCCCCTTGGCCCTGCCAGGGGGCATTGAGGTAGCCGATCAGAGAAGAAACTTTTATGATTCTCGCACACAGCTAGGATGTATTTGGAGAGTTGTTTTTCAAAAGGGGCGATGAAGAAAGTAAAACAAGTTCCTAGTCCTCATTGTCAAAAAAAAAAAAAAAAAAGCACATGCTTTCTACAAGGAGGCGGGGAAGTGGGCGGGGCTACTTATAAGGCGGGGCTCGGAGAGGGCGGCTCTGTGCCAGTGGTTTTCATCCTCAGCCGCTTTTAAGACGTGTGGACTTCAACTCCCACAATGCAGCGGATTCGCTGGACCCAAGGGAAGGAGTCTATTCTGTCCCAGCAAGGCCGGCTGAGGAATGCTGGGAGTTGAAGTCCCAACCCGTCTTAAAAGTGGCTGAAGTTTGAGAAACGCTTCGATTTTCACTGCGCACGCGTACTCCGTGTGCTCCGTTGGCAAAACCTAGAGCGGGAAAGGAAGTTGGCGCCTTCAGCCGGAAGTTCCCTTCGCTTTGCTTCTTCCGCTTCCTTTTTCCGGCTTCCTCTTCGTCTCTAGCCTCCGCAGACATGGCTGCCTTCGAGCAGATGCGGGCGAGCGTCGGGAAGCTGCTGAAGGGCATCGACAGGTATTTCTCCCTCCCCCCCCCCCAAAGCGGTCCCGGGAGCTTTGAAACCTTCATCTAGGAACCTCAGGAAGCTTTGTGGGAGGATGGCACTCTGCTCATGCTCAGGAACCCCACGTCTCCGCCGGACTGGCAGCATTTCTGCGTCTCCTGCATCTCCTTTTAGCTTGAAAAATGGGATTTAAGGAGGAGAAACCGGGATGGGGCGGAAGGAATTAGTCAGCGTCCTTCCTGACGGCTGCTCCATCTTTTTCCTGAATTTCAGGTACAACCCAGAAAATCTCGTCACTCTGCAGCACTACGTGGAGACCCAGGCCAAAGAGAATGCCTATGACTTGGAGGCCAACTTGGCTGTGCTCAAACTGTGAGTTGCTGATCATTTGCCCCTTTTACACTCTTTCGCAAAGCATCGAAGGCAAGACCTGGAGACCCAGAAGTGGGATGGTGCCCATTCGGCTGACTCAGTTGGTTGTTGTTGGCAAGAGGGTGAAAGGAGTTGTGGCTTTTTTTTCATTGTTGCCGTTTTAGTCTTTTATCTCTGTAAATGGCCTGGAGTCAATGAGAGGTTGAGCAGCCATCTAACATTTCTGAAATAAATTCTAAAGTAGGAGTGCCAAACTTGAGGCCTGCGGGCGAAATCTGGCCTGCAGAGTGCTTAGATCTGGCCCGTGGGGGTCACCTTGGAAACCGCAAAGGACCAGCCTGCAGCCAACGAAAACGGAGCTCATGGGAGGGCGGCACGCAGCCCAGAGCTCCGTTTTGGCTGGCAGAGTCCTATCAAAATAAACTCCAAAACAAAACAAAAGGAGAAATGTTTTCTCTTTTACATTTGAGCATGCAGGAAAGGAGAAAGGGAAAGAGAAAAGAAAAAGAAGAAAAGAGGGGAAGGAAGAAGAAGAATGGCGAATGAAGAGGGAAGGAAAAAGAAGAAAAGAAAGGAAGATTATAATAGCAATAGCACTTAGACGTATATAATGTTTTACGCCGCTTTACAGCCCTCTCTAAGCGGTTTACAGAATCAGCCAAAATGAGGACAACTTGGGGTCCTCATTTTACCCACCTCGGAAGGATGGAAGGCTGAGTCAACCTTGAGCCTGGTGGGATTTGACCTGCCAAATTGCAGTAGGAGTAGCTTGCAGTACGGCACTCTAACCACTGTGCCACCGAGGCTCCATAATGAGAGGGAGGGTCTGAGGGAAGTCCTGCCTTAGCACTTGGCCACTACAGGTGCCCCTGACACGTGTAATGTCGAGCTGGCCACGCCTATCCCCACCCACATACCCGGAGGTCAAGTGTGACCCTGTTGCAGCCTTCCGTGAAATCGAGTTTGACACCCCTGTTCTGGAAGGAGAAATCCTGAAATGCTGTGCTTTCATGTTGGGCTTTCTGCGCAAACTTCTCAGGTTGTGATCTCGCCATCCTTTTTTCCTCTAGGTATCAGTTTAATCCTAACTTATTCCAGGTCTCGGTGACTGCCCAGATTCTCCTCAAAGCACTGACCAACCTGCCTCACACAGATTTCACACTCTGCAAGTGCATGATTGACCAGGCTCGCGTATCCTCTTTGTACTCTAGGATAACTTCCCCCCAAATCCCTGTTAGGACTTGAAGCCTCCCACCAGGCACAGCTCACCAGGAAAAAGTCTAGACCAGAGGTCCCTAAACTTGGCCCCTTTAAGACTGGTGGACTTCAACTCCCAGAATTCCTCCTCCAGTCACGTTTGCTGAGGAATTCTGGGAGTTGAAGGCCATAAGTCTTAAACTTGCCAAGTTGGAAGACGCTTGCCCTAAATCCTACAGAAATCCCAATTCTGTTAAGAACCTGCTAGATCAGGGGTCCCTAAACTTGGCCACTTTAAGACTGGTGGACTTCAACTCCCAGAATTCCTCCTCCAGTCACGTTAACTGAGGAATTCTGGGAGTTGAAGTCCACCAGTCTTAAAGTGGCCAAGTTTGGAGACCTCTGGTCTAGATGGAGAATTCAGCTGAGAACAATGGCTTAGACCAAGAGTGGGCAACTATGGTCCCTTTGTAACTTGTGGACTTCAACTCCCAGAATTCCTGAGCCAGCCACCAAATATGCCATCAGGCTTACTTAGATAGGTGGAGGTACGATCAGATGTACATAAGCCTCTGTTTTAGCTGGGCAGCATTCTTCTTGTGCCCTATCTGTCATCGGACATTGGTGACCATGTTGGCAATCCTATTTTTATCAACAGCTGCACAAAAAAGGGCTGCTGAGTTTTGTCCAAACCAGTTCCTTAGAATTTGAAGCCATGATGATCTCCTCCTGCCTGGACCTCATTCACCTTCAATCTTTCCTTGGAGTGAAGGATGACGTGTTTTTCTGGGCGTTGCATCCCAATGTCCGAAATATTCTAACTTTCTCTTTTTTTATGGTTTTGACGATGTCCCTTGGCTTTCCCAGGCAGCTTATCACCTCATTTCTGATTTTTATCAACTCAACTTATACATAACAGCTGCCTGTAAAAACACATTTCAAACGCTTCCAGGTCTCTTCAAGTGGCTTTTGGTCAGAGACCAAGCATGGGAGTATTTAATAGCTTGTCCGGTCCACAAGATCCTTGGGGGAGAGGGGTGGGGAGGAATTGTCCATGCATTTCTCCAGCTTCCTATGTAGGATTCCTTAACTTTGCTGCTGCCAGCAAGAGGAGAGCCCGATCCGTCAGATCTTATACCTGGGGGAATTGTTGGAGAACTGTCATTTTCAGGCTTTCTGGGTAAGTCAATTTTTTTATTTTATTGATGAATAGATTCACGCAGACATGACTGATAAGCCTGCGGAAATCAAATCCGTTTGTGCTTGCGAAATAAATAGTTTTAATACAGGTAGTCCTTGACTTGCAACCGTTCATATAGCCACTGTTCAACATTACAGCGGCACTGAAAAAAAGATTGCAAACTTGGATGCAACTCACTTAACAACCATCTAGCTTAGGAATGGAAATTCGGCTCCCAATTGCTGTCATAAGGACAACCTGTATTGCAGTCCGAGGAACATCTGCAGAACGACACATTTGTTCCCTTGGTTTTTGGGAAGACACAGTCGTTTAATACAGGGGTCTCCAACCTTGGCCGTTTTAAACCTAGAGGACTTCGACTCCCAGAATTCCCCAGCCAACAAAGCTGCAAATCTGGCTGGGGAATTCTGGGAGTTGAAGTCCTCCAGGCTTAAAGTTACCAAGGTTGGAGACCTCTGGTTTAATATGCGTCAGGTTGTTTGGTCAATTGCAAATGTTTTAAATTGATTTTCGTGCTGCTTTTGTTTAATCTCCTGAAAAACAGTAAGTTTAGATGCTTGTAGAAAAGTAGACCGATATCTGTCATTGGCTGTGGTGCTGTCCTTGACCAAGGCTATCCTCTCTCATTTCTGATTTTTTATTTTTTTTAATAATAGCAAGCTCTGGATAAGAATATGAAACTCCTAGATGGGATCATCGGATTTGAAGATTCAGTTAGGAAATGTAAGTCAAAAGTATTGCAATTTGCGTGGGGGGTGTCTCAAGTATTGCTCCATTTTGGGAGGGGTCGTTTCCCCCCTCCCTGCTTGATACGTCTTTTAATATTTGGGAGATTCTTGCAGGGGGTATGTGTCAAAAAAATAAAGTCAAGAGAGCAGCCAGAACTGCACACTTTGAAGTCATGCCATTTTAAAAATAATTTGATTGTATTTTATAACATATACCAATTTCATTTTTTAGTTAAACAGTGTGTTGTCTGGGTACAAATATTTTTAGGAAATAATCAAAATGTGTATCAAAACAAATAATATTTGTTACACTGGTTTTAGTTCTATAGTAATAATAATAATAGATGCTTATCCATTTTAACAAACCTCCCTTATATCATTAGTCCTTTTCTTTCATTTACACGTTTCTAACTTCTGTTTTTTTATTAGCTAATAACTAACCATTGATAAAATAAGTCGGATGTCAAAAAGTATTCAGTTTCTTCCTTTTCCTTAATTGTGTCGTTTTCCTTTTTCAGTCATTTGTCACGTAGTTGGGATCACATACCAGCACATTGACCGATGGCTTCTGGCCAAAATGTTGGGCGATCTAACAGGTGAGTGAGTGGCTGTACAGGCAGGTATATAATTCCCTTCCCTTTGCTATGTGGGTTCATGACAATGTTTCGTTGTACCTCGTAGCCTGCTGATATTTAGAATGGAGGGATATGGGAGGAAATACGGAAAAACCTGTTTTAATCTACATGTTAATTTGTAAAATGTATGTCTCTGTCTATATTGATCTCTAATCTCTATATCTGTCTATAATCTAATCTATCAATCATCTATACGATCTATCTATCTATCTATCTATCTATCTATCTATCTATCTATCTATCTATAATCTATAATCTCTATCTCTATCTAATCTCTGTCAATCATCTGTATCTATTTACCTATGTACCTCTATCTCTAATCTTTTGTCTCTTTCTAATCTATATCAATCATCTATATCTACCTATCTACCTCTATCTCTAATTTCTCTCTCTACCTCTATATCAATCATCTACCTATCTACCTCTTATCTATCTCTAATCTCTGTCTAATCTCTATCAATCATCTATGCCTATCTACCATCTATCTCTAATCTCTCTCTCTAATCTATATCTATCATCTATATTTACCATCTACATCTCTCTCTCTCTCTTTCTCTCTCTAATCTATATCATCTATAGATATATACCTCCGTCTACTCCATCTACCTCTGTCTGTCTGTCTATCCATCCATCCATCCATTCTATCTATCAATCAAATTGCCGCCTGTCTCATGGTTCAGGGTGACAGGATCAGCACATGTTCGAATGGGAAGCAAATTAATTTTACGTTTCTCTTTAGTTTCCTACGTGGTGAAACCATTCCTGGGTCCTTAGCTGCATCATTCATTTTGTTCTTCCCATTCCAAATTCTCCACGGCTTTCACAGTTTTGCCGTTCTCCATATATTTCGCATTAACGATCGTTTTCATAAACCTGACGGAAGAAAGAGAGTTTCTGACAAAACCCAGAATTCTCTCTTTGGCCCAATCCTCCCAGCATGTAAGTCTCCTTCTTTGCTGCAGATAATCAGCTGAAGTCTTGGATGAGCAAATATGGCTGGGTAGAAACAGAACCCGGGACAATATTCATTTCAAACCAGGAAGAGAACATCAAGCCTAAAAACATTGTGGAGAAAATAGACTTTGACAGTGAGTATCTTTTTTTTTTTACTCCTGCTCGTTTCCCTCCTTTTTCATTTTTATTTTTTTTCTATACTAAAGAGGAGATGACGTATAAATCTTGCTGTTTGGAGCTGAGTGTTGCAATATGTCAATCGCATGTGCCATCACTTTTTCCTACGTGCGATGCTTGCCTTCTTAGTTCAGCTCTCAGAAGTTGCTGAGAAGAGCATCTCTGGTGTGTGTCGGTGTGTGTTGTGTCCATTTGGAACTCAGAAGCCCAGTGTAACTATTTCCCAATTTTTGGAAGCTGTGCTTATTCCCTCTTTTGACTTGATGAGGTTCCCCATGTAGGCAGATCCTGACAACCATCATGAGGTTATGAGTTGAAGTTTGTCCGTCGCAATGCGTTCCTCCCCTCCTCCAGGTAGAGTAGCAGCCCCTATTTAGCCACAACTTTAAAATATCACCCTGTAAGGACCCAAAGCACAGGTAATCAGTAAGAGTCCCTTTACTAGCTCCAACTTTGCCCCCAATGTCCAGGAGAAAAAAACGTCCAGGAACAGCCTTTGACTATAACGAATCAAATCTAAAACATGGTCAACACAAACGGTAATTATAAGTCCACGCAAGCCAAAATGAGATAATTGGTTTGGCAGGGCAGGAGCAAGAATTCCAGATGTGCAGGCATGGCAAAACTCACATGGATGAGAAGACTCCAGGAACACAGATAAGCAGCGGCAACACAGGATAAAGTCACGTTTGCTCCCAATAACTGCCGTACTCAGCATTCAGTCATTTTAAACTCATTCCCGGATGTGTCTAATGAAGGGAATCAGGGCCCTTTCCTCCCCTGTAAGCCATGCAACCCACGTTGCTCCCTTCTCCGTTCCTCCCTGCGTGCCCTAGGACGAAGTGGGGGGGGCTGGGTCTTCCTCTGAACTCCCTCTCCCTTGCTCTCCCTCTCCCCTGCTCTGCCCAGCCGTGCTTTGCCCTTCCCCAGTTTCCTCCCCAGCCAACGGAGCCGTACTCCCACTCCCTATCAGCTGTTCATCTTCCTCCTCGGATTCAGATTCCGACAGGGGCATGACCTACCCATTCCTTCGCTACCTGCAACAGGTGATGCAGGAACATAAGGAAAGGTTTGGAAGTTCCTGGATCTCCACTCTCCCTCGACTCTGTGTATCAGGAACCTTTCCTCTGGTTTGTGGGAAGGAGGCAGTTGAGATCAATTTTGTCCAGCGGTTTGTTTGAGGGATGCTTTTTGTGGCTGCATACCTGTGTTGTTTTGTCTCCTAAAATGCGTATCCACATCCCTTCAGGCAAATCAGAGGTGTTAGGGTAGGCCTGCTCTAGGAAGGTAAAAAGAAAGGTGATCGATCTCAAGAGGCCCTGAATTGCAAGATGGGGACCGGGCGAAATTGGTGCTGTTCGGTATATTACAGGTAGTCCTCAATTTACGATCATCGTCCGCTTAACAAATGTTTGAAATTATGTCGAACTTTTAGAAAAGCTCCTTGTGGCTATTGCCACCCTCTCTCCCTGCAGTTGTGTGATCACTTTTTGAGGACTTGGCAACCAGTTTGCATTTATGACTGGTGTCCTGCGACCACATGCCCATGATTTTTGGCACCTTTCATGATTATTATTACTCAGTTTATTTGTCGGCCCTCTTGCAGTTCAAAGCAACTCCGCACCAGACGGCCGTTACCTGTGCTAGATGCTCTTCACAATGGCATGGTTTGCTTAATGACCGTGTGATTCACTTAAGAACAGAAGGGTTAGGGTTCAAAAAATCTACAATTACGCTGAAATGGGATAAACTTTAAAATTAAAAGAAAAGGAAGACTCGAAGTACTACACGGTTTGAGAAAACTGATACAAATGGATAAATGATAGAGATCGAGTAGATAAATAAGGAAGAGTTTAAAGAGGATAATGCTTGGAAAATAACCAGGAATATGAAATATGTACTGGGATAATAATGGGTATATAACCACCATCAAATTGATTTGTAATGTTCATAGTGTTTTTCGTTTTAATGAGTTGTATTATATTTTGTATCTATTTTTTAATGTTTAATAAAGGTATTTATTTTAAAAAATAGAACAGAAGGGACTCATAACCTACGTAAAAACAGTTATAAAATAAATTGAATCCTGTCACATGCCTCAATTTATGACTACAAGTGACTTTGAGGGCTACCTGCAAGACTCCTTTCTCCATTCGATGCAGTTATGCTAATTCAGATGGATGAGAGTTGTAATCCTCTACAATTTTGCCAGCTTGTGAGCGTTCACCTGGATCAGGCAAAGACCTGAAACTCACATTCTGAATTTCTCTCTTTTCACCACCCCGTTTCCCTTCTGTTTTCTTTCAGGTGTTTCCAGTATCATGGCTTCTTCCCAATGACCCCTTATCCGCCATACTAATTTCAGCCCCATTTTTTAAAAGGTGTTTATTAAAACCAATAAACAGCTGTTTGATTTGCCAGTGGTGCGCATAGCTGTCTGGCTTCCTGGATTCTATCAGGCATGGGCAATTTGATTTGCTGTATGTTTTTTTTAAAAAAATAATTCACAGCTCTGGTGTTTTGTATTTTTGTGATAGGCATTTTATATGTTGTTTCTGTGAACGTAATGCACTGTGCTGAATTTTGCTGTCCCCCCACAAAATAAAATAACCAAGTAAGAAATGGGCACTTCTCAAAGAAGTAGTATGAAGCTACCCATGACAGGAGCTTAAGCCATGCAACACACCTGCAGGATTTCATCCGTGGCCCTGGACGCTGCCCTCTGTAGATAAGAGCCACCCCTTGAAATCCACGCCAAAGCTTAAAGGTGCGTTAACTAATAAAACCAGGGTAACGCTAAAGTCAAAATACAATGGGATAATCAGATTGTGACCCGGGTTGCGCCGTTCTTCTAATGGCCACTAGATGGGGGTGTGAAGCCAAAAGAAGAAATAAGATTTGACTGCTTTTCCCCTCGCTAGCTCAACTAAGCAAGGACTTGTTCCACTCTCAGCAGGTTGTAACCAGGGCGTAGTGGGGAGAGGAGATTCAGGTTGAGCTATGAGTGGGAGAGGCAGGAGGCCAGTACCCTTTTCCCTCTTAACAGCTGCTTTTACTTGCCATTTTTGCCTCCAAGCCTTAAAGGGAACATTGTCCAGGAGAAGCGGTTCTCCAGCTATATAAGGCGGAAGAAACTAGAATGGTTTATGGTTTCTTGCTCGGGCAGGGGGTTGGACTAGAAGACCTCCGAGGTCCCTTCCAGCTCTATCCTGATTGATTGGTTGTAGGTGCAGCTATTCACCTGCAGATTTGAACTTGCCAGTGCAGGAACTTCCAACGGGCATGACTCACAAGGTGTGGTTGGAACTGGCTCTGCCCTTGAGACCGGGAGAGGTTCCAAGACACAGAGATACCTGGGGCCACCGGGGGGGGCAGGTTGCTCCACGAAGCTGTCCGACCCTGATCCAGGTGGGACAGGGTCTTGCCTTGCCTTTCTCAAGACCTCGACTTAACGACCACCCGTCGGGATGGGAATTGTGCACGGTCACGACTTAGGGCCAGAACTTTCTCGCTAAACGAGGCGGTCCTGCCCTGTTTTACAACCTTTTCTGCTGCAGTCATTAAGTGAATCCAGCTCCCCCCCCCATTGACTTTACCTGATTGGAGGTGCCCCCCTCCCTCCCCAAGGAAGGTTGACCTGGGGAGGCTGCAACGCTTGTCAACGCAAGCTGGTTGCCGAGCGCACCTGGGTTGTGATTGCAGAGAGGTGGTCGTAATAGCGAGGACCGGTCGCAAGTCGCTTTTTTTTTCTCCCCAGCACCGTTGTAACTCTGCGTGGTTGTAAGTCGAGGACGGCCTGGCTTCCAAGGCTTTGGCCCTCTCGCTTTGGGTTCCCACACTGCAGATTATTCTGCCACCAACGGTGACCTGCGTTGACGGGTCTCTAGTTTACTTTATTCTCATTGCACCTCGTACAGTGAAATTAAATACCATCTTCAGTGTACAAAAATTGTGACTAAGAAGATAAACACAGACACACATCCTTTCACACCCCACACATCGAATTGAATTAATATATTGCATTAATATTGCACTATACAGTAGAATTCAATAGAGTTACTGCCCTGGGATAGAAGCTGCTTTTCAGCCTATTTGTCCTTGTTTTTATTGTTGTCCTGTACCGTCTGCCAGATGGTAATAGTTCAAAAACAAAAAGGGTTCCCAGGATGAGATGGATCTTTGAGGATGTTTTGAACTTTCTTAAGGCAGCGGGAGCTCTAAAGCTCTTCTAAAGAGGGGAGAGGGCAACCCAGGATCCTCTGGGCAATGACGTTCACCCTCTGGAGTGCTGTCCTATCTGCCCCTGTGCAAGTGGCAAACCCTACACAGGTGTGTAGTAAGTTAAGACACTCTCTCTGGTGCAGCGGTAGAAGGTTGCCAGCAGTTTTTCATCCGTCTGTTGTTTTCTGAGAAATCTCAGGTAGTCTAATCTCTGCTGGGCCCTTTTGACCAGGGCTGCAATGTGAGTCCCCCAGGTCAGGTCCTCTTTTAGGGTAACACCCAGAAACTTAAAAGTGGCCCCTTGCTCCCCTCGGTCTCCCTTGAGAAGCCAGGGCTGGAGGTCTGATCTGCTCCTTCTAGAGTCCACTATCAGCTCCTTGGTCTTATCGGTGTTGAGGACCAAGTTATGGTCTCCACACCACGAAAGCAACCGTTGGTCCACCTCATCTCGGTCGGCAGATTCATCCCTCCCCCCGGAGGTGAGTCCCACCGCTGTTGTATCCTCTGCAATGCTTGGAAGAAGCAACTTGCTTAAATATCTATGGAGGGAAGTTTTCCCTCCTCCCTGTTTTTTTATGTCTTTCCCTATTTGGGAGATTCTTTCAGGAGGTGTGTGTAAAAAAAACAAAAAAGCTGTGTGCAAAAATGGTGCAACCACCACTGCACAAGTGAAGTCCTGTCTGTGGAAGATTCTCAGTCATGTAGGTCATGGTTGTCTCAAACAGGCAACTAGACTTTCTGGTTCTCTTCTAACCAGGACTCTGCAACTATTCAAAAAGAAACGGTAATAATCAATTTTTTTCAGTGGTGGTGTAACTTCGGTCATTAAATGAATAAACGGTTCTAAGTTGAAAGGACTACCTCTATTCCTATTGCTTGGGATCGTCAAATTCTTCCATTTTTTTCCCCTCCCTAAACCAACCCTGGGAGGCAATGATGTTAAAAGGATCCTGAATGGCCCCAAACAGGCTGAATTTTCATGCCGTTCCTAATTTGATATCTTCGGCAAGAAATATCTCTTATCCAGAGGTCTCCAAACTTGGCAACCTTAAGACTTGTAAATCCACTCCCAGAATTCCCCAGGCAGCATGTGGACTTCAACTCCCAGAATTCCCCAGCCAGCATGGTGGACTGAGGAATTCTGGGAGTTGAAGTCCACAAGTCTTAAAAGTTGCCAAGTTTGGAGACCCCTGCTCTTATTTTTGGACTCTCTGAGCTGTTTATTCTGGTTTTCTTCCTACAACGACCATCATAGATAGTTCTGGGAAGGGCGATGGGAGGAGTGAACGGTTTACCAGTCTTCTAAAGTTCTTCTAACCAGAAAATCCACAGTTGCCTCTTGAAAAAGCACTTTGGGGACAATCCTCTTTAAAAAAAAAAAAGGGGACCGGAGCACAAACGAACCTTTGAGAAACGGCTAAAGGAGGCCTATTGTGAGGGCTGGGCTTTTATCTCCCGTCGCTTCTCCGCCTTTTCCCAGCTCATTTTGCACCAATCTCGGCTGGCAGGAAAGAGACCTGGTTTTTCTCCTTCCTCCGATTGGTTCTGCAGCCACTCTGGATGCCCACCTGGGAACAAACCTGAATGAAGCATCTCTCGGGCTGGCCCAAGGAACCGGGCACCAGGCCCAGAAGCTCGGAGACAAGGAAGAAAGGCCGCGCTTGTTCCTTGTAAACTGATTCTCTACCTGCACAAACATCAGAAAGGAATGAGGAGGCCTCCCTCCCCATTTCCTGAGGTTTGCTAGGAATTGCCAAAAAATCGGTTTCATAAATCCCCCGCAGTGTTACTTTTCTTTCTGCGGGCAGGCCTCGACTTACGGGCACAACTGAGCCCCAAAATTTCTGTTGCTGAGCAAGACAAGTTGCTCAGTGAGTTTTGTCCTGTATTAATGACTTTCCTTGCCACCGTTAAGTGAATCACTCGCCTTTCAATGACCCCATAATCCCTTGTGTCCAGATGGAGTCGGGGCTACGGAATGGAGCTGAGGGTTTTACTGACCCAATGCCTTTCCTGTCACCAGTGCAGAGTTTATATTCAGCAGACATACTCTCTGTGCCGAGAGAGAGAGAAATATCGTCCTCTACCAAGGATCGAACTCGCAGCCTCCTGATTTGTGCAAAGGGGGATTGCCTGTATTTGTATTGCTTGGGATCTTCAAATTCTTCCATTTTTTTTCCTCCCTAAACCAGTCCTGGGAGGCAGTGATGTGATCCTGAATGGCCACAAACCGGTGGAGTTTTCATGCCATTCCTAATCTGAAATTTTCAGCAGGAAGTCTCTCTTATCCTTGGATTATTGGAGCTGTTTATTCAGATTTTTTCCCCTGCAGTGACCGCCAATAGATAGTTCTGGGAAGGGCGATGGAGGAAATGGATGAAGTCATAGTCCATTTCTGAAGGCGATATAGGTGGATCTCTGATGTTGGATTTCTTTTTTATTTATTTCTGGTCAGGCTGCCAAGGCGGGGGCAGTAGGTTCTCTTTAAGAATTCTTTACTCATTTCTAAAAGTTTTGCCAGTTGGCCCTGTAGTAAGTAACTGCTTGGAAGGGTCAAGTTCGGTGCAAGATCTAAAAATAAAAGACATAATAAAATGAGTGTTGGTGAAAAATAGTAAAACCATCAGAGATTAAAATAGCATTTAACCGAATTTTCTGTCCTCAGTCTTCAAGGCATTTAGCTTATTTTTGTCTGCTTCGCATTGCCAGAAAGGTTAAGATGTGAAAAATATCGAAGGATGTTTTGTCTGCTAGAGGACTATATTTTCAGAACGTTATTTGTTTACTGATCTGTAGGGCTTAGATAGCCACCTATTGCGTAGAGGTAGTCCTTGTTTAGCGACCACAATTGGGACCATAAGCTTAGTCGTTAAGTGAAGCAATAATAAGACGAACCCGTAACTGTGCTTACAAACTAAATTAAAATTTCCCTTTGCTTTACAGACCTGCAGAGGTCATAAACACGAGGATAGGTTGCCAAGTTGCTTTTTCAGCCCGGTCGGGACTGCACGCTGTCGCTAAACAAGGACTTCCTGCTATAATAATTCTAGGCAGCTTACAACAATCCATAAAAGGTAGCTTAAAGCAACGCTTATCTTTCTGCCCGATGGCGACACCCAACAGTCTACTAGCTGTACTTTCATCCCAATGCTTGGGGGAAGAATTAAGTCTCTATGATCCTTTGGGTAGCTAGAAGGGGCGCCACCTTTTTAGGATCTTAAGTAGGATGCCTAAAGAGGAGCATCTATCTTGGGAATCCAACTTCTAATTG